GGTAATTGTGATTAAAGTTTTTTCAAAATTAAAAAAACCTGCACAAAAAGTCAAATAAATTTCCCACAAAACCTGCCTTTTAAAGGTGGAATTTAGTCAATTTATTTCATTTTATTTCAATTATGCTCGACTACAGAGTACTGAACTGACTAGACCAGCCGTGGGCAAACTACGGCCCGCGGGGCCGGATCCGGCCCGTTTGAAATGAATAAAACTAAAAAAAAAAAAAAAGACCGTACCCTTTTATGTAATGATGTTTACTTTGAATTTATATTAGTTCACACAAACACTCCATCCATGTTTTTGTTCCGGGCCTCCGGTCCAGTTTAAGAACCCATTGTGGCCCTCGAGTCAAAAAGTTTGCCCACCCCTGGACTAGACTCTTCTTTGTCACTAACCTAAATTATGAGGCACCAGAATGATATGAGAATACAGTATGTTATGTCCTCGGCCCATACCTCCATGCACAGTAACATGCCTTTTGAACATACTAAAAGTACGATAGCATGGATTCCAAGAGATAAATTTTCGTAATAATTGATCCCTTAACATTTTACTTATTACAATTCTCCATGAGGCTATGTTCCAACTTATACTAACATTTAATCTTCTCTTTCTAATGTAGCACAAAATGTTTACACTTAACTTATAATTTTCTAATGTTCACAAATGTAACAATACTTACAATCTAGTTCTCATCAGGTTGTTGTGAGGATCAAGTGAGATATTGCAAATATTAGTAAAAAAGTTTCTAATTTAATTTTGACTTGTAAGTTTTATTATCATTATAGGATTAAATGATTTAAATTAAAAATATTCTGCTATGCCATGATTGCAAAACATGAAAAATAAATAAAGTGAAAGTAATAAAAGGCACAATAAAAATGTTAATGAATTTTAAAGTTATATAACTTCTCTGACAAATCAGTATTATCTATTGTACAATTCTGTAAATTATAATGATGTTGAATCATAATATAGCAGTTCCGCTACTTGATAAATTATTTTTGTAACACTATTTACCTATGAATTATAGAAAGACACTCTCCAAATAAATTTAAACTATTTTTCAACATGTCTATTGAATATAATTTACTTCCCACCTTTTATAAACTGAGCATGCACAAAATCAGAAGTTCTCTGAAAATGTTCATTTAGATGATGGAGTCTACAGATTTTATTAGGCTATGAATTATAACGTACGAGCAACATGAAATCTTAATATGACATCCATTTAGCCAAGGACATGAACTTGTTTGAGAATCAGGAATCAGCCCTAGGAAGTCTCACACATGAGAGCACCCTTTAAAGCCAGGGTGGCCAGTGTGGCCCGTGTGCCGAGAACGGAGTTTAGGTTTCATGAACATGGAAGGAAGAAGAGGAAGGGAGGAGGCAGCAGCAGCAGCAGCTGCAGGGGTGCCGGCCGTGGCCAGAGGCCATGGGGGGGTCTGCTGGTATTTACTCTCTGGCCCTTTACAGAGGTCTGCCACCCCTGCCTTACAGTACCCATTCACAAGACAATCAATAACCAAACAGGGGTCTCTCTTACCTGTCCAAGTATTTGCGGAAAGGAAGTCTTAATCGTCACCTGGTTTAAAAAAATCATTAAGAAAAATGTTATTTTCCCTAAAGCTGCCCCAGGTCACATTTTATTAAAATGAGCATTTTATTAAATAGAAATTAACTTTTTTATGGTAATAAACCTAAAGGCACTCAAGATCTCAAAAGAATCCTCTGAACCATCAACATTTAATGTGTCTCCAGGGTAATTTTACTGTTCAGTAAAATATGTTCCCATATTCTAATTCTTTGACAACTGAATGAATGCCATGGTGTACATAGTAACCCTTTACTAACTAAAATACTTAACTAACGAGCATATCAAATTACTAGATCATGCAAGCTAAAGGAATTTATTAAATGACTGAGAGCAGTTAAGTGGAATCAAGGTATTTCACATCAGCTAGAAACCTGTGATGTCACCACAAATGTCTGCTTCAGCCACGTCCACCTGGAGTCCTTAGAACCTGGCCTGTTCTAACACAGGGAGGGACTCTTTTGGCATGAACCCGTAAGTTAATAACATGTTACCCTGGAGCTCTATTTCCCTTCTCTCAGCACAAGGACATCTAGGTGATTGTAACACAAACTCAATAGGCACGGAACTGCACGGATTAATGACTAACAGAAACTAATATAGTTAGTGAAAAGCAAAGAAGGCCTTAAGGACCTTATCCAAGAGCTAGGAACAAATGAGCATCACGCTGATTAGTGAATGAAACCCACAGCTGATTTCATGATGGTCTTCAATTTACAAAGGACCTTTGCTCCCAAATTGAAAAGGTTAGACTTCAGTCGCAATTTTAATTTTATTTTCTCTTACTTACTAAGATGCATACATTCAGTGGTCCAGCTAAGAAAATACGGAGGTGGTGCTAAGAGGTAAAATGGAGGATATTTAAAGTAATATACATGTCTATTTCTTTTTTGTGAATGTCTACTTCTAGTATTTATTGCCTTCTGCATCACCATGTATCTGAAGCTAACATAAAATACATATGCCGTGCCCTAACCGGTTTGGCTCAGTGGATAGAGCGTCAGCCTGCGGACTCAAGGGTCCCAGGTTCGATTCCGGTCAAGGACATGTACCTTGGTTGTGGGCACATCCCCAGTAGGGAGTGTGCAGGAGGCAGCTGATCGATGTTTCTCTCTCATCGATGTTTCTAACTCTCTATCCCTCTCCCTTCCTCTCTGTAAAAAATCAATAAAATATATTTTAAAAAAATACACCTGCCATTTATTCTTAACTAAACCTTAAAAGTGAAGCCAACGTGCAGCTTACCTCATACTGACAGTCGGAAGACGTGTACATTTTTAATAACGCGACGTGGCTGTCATTGTCTGGCTGGGCAACATGGAGTTTCAGAGAAATTTCTGTTGAAGATGGGACCCTGAAAAGTAACTTAATTATCAATTCTCAAATACAGAATGCTATTAAATAACACGGCTAAGCCAGTCCTCGGCCCAACACAGCGTGGTAATGGAGAGGAGGCTGGGTGTGAGGCGCATGGTGACGGAGGGACGCTCCCGGCATATCACGGTGTCTGAATGCTCCCTCCGGGACATAGGAGTCGGGGAGAAGTGGGAAAGGGTTCATGTTTCAAGCAATGAAGGTTTACATTCTGTACCAGTTAATTAAGAATACCATATATTATATTACCTACGGGCACAATGCTACATTAGGAATACCTATGTATTACTAAGAGGCACTTTAATGCTTCCACTCTGATGTAAATAAACTTAGTAGAATGTTTATTATTCAAAAAACAAAAGTTTAAGGTAAACCCTTTCATATACTTACTGTGCAATGGTTAGCGAATCTTCATAAGACCAGGGAATGTGAAGTTTATAGATACTAGTTATTTCTTCTGTGAAAACAAAACGAAAACATGTATTACTACCCTTATGTCACACCAAATGTTATATAAACTACTATAATACCTAACTATAGTGGTTATAATTATAGTTCATAAGAAATCAGTAAGAGTTACATCACATAATAGAAAATTATGAAGAATGATTAAATAATAATCTATATGTATAAAAGGCTAAGCGACCATCTGACTGGTAGCTATGACGCACAACGACCACCAGGGGGCAGAGGCTCAACTCAGGAGCTGCTGAGCTGCGGTGACTTGGCAGTGGTGGTTCTCGGGTGACACACCCTGGAACCAGAGAGGAGGGAGCCCAATTCTGGGGTGCATCACCCAAGAACTGCCCTCTCACAATCTGGGACCCCTCGGGAGATGTCGGAAAGCCGGTTTTGGCCTGATCCCTGCAGGCCAGGCAGAGGGACCCCACCTGTTGGAGGGACCTAGCTCACTCCGTACACGCCCTTCAAGTCACGGTGCCAGCCCAGGTTCGGCCGGCCAGGGAGGGACCGCGGGAGGTTGGCTCCAGGGCATGTTCAGCCTGTCTCGCCCAGTTGCACCCCACCGGCCACCTTCTAATTCATTTCCTTTCAATGTGCATGAATCCGTGCACCGGGCACTAGTGTTTTATAATATTAGACTCATAAAAGATATTAGAGCATTTGAGAAGGACTAAGAAACTGGAAAAACACTAGCAGCTAAATCTGAATTACTATTATAACAAAACAGCAAGCTATGTGGTATTTTTAAAACGTGGATATTTAAGCCTGGGCTGGTGTGGCTCAGTTGGTTGAGCATCGTCCTGTGTACCAAAAGGTCACCAGTCTGATTCCCGATCAGGCAATGCCCAGGTTTCAGGCTCGATCCCCAACCCCCAGTTGTGGTGTGTGAGGGAGGCAGTTGAACAATGTTTCTCTTTCTCTCTCCCTCTTCTTTTCCCTCTCTCTGAAATCAATAAAAACATATTTTTTAAAAAGTGGGTGTTAAAACTAAAACAGAAGATGCTTACTGCCCTAACTGGTTTGGCTCAGTGGATAGAGCGTCGGCCTGCAGACTCAAGGGTCCCGGGTTCGATTCCAGTCAAGGGCATGTACCTTGGTTGTGGGCACATCCCCAGTAGGGAGTGTGCAGGAGGCAGCTGATCGATGTTTCTCTCTCATCGATGTTTCTAACTCTCTATCCCTCTCCCTTCCTCTCTGTAAAAAATCAATAAAATATATTTTTAAAAAAAGATGCTTACTATTAACACATTGTGGACGGATCACGAGAATTCTGGCTTCCTATTACACAGTGTTTTACAAAGTATCATACTTTAAAAAGATATTAGCTTGTAAGAACATGCAATAAATAACTTCAAAATGCAATGGGTACTTAATTTTAAAGCATGCCTTTAACATTTATGTAAAATGTTTTTTGTACTCATTCAATAGAAACTTATCTGACCACTAGGTAAAGCTAGCAATAAAACTACTGGTCCGCAATGTGTAAAGAAAGGGTCTATGTTAAATTTGTTGGAAATATAAACAGCTTTTCTATTATATTACATTTTACTTCACATACATATAGGAAATTCAAGTGAAAACATACTGATTCTTCAAATGACAACACCTTTATATTTTATTGTAAAATACACTTACCTTTGACTCCTGAGCACTTGCTGTCTATGTTGACTTGAAAAGCTTGGTATATCTAATGGTTTGACCACAAAAACAAAAACAGAAGTTTACGTGTTTGTTTTACTAAACAGTAAAGTAAAATCACATCCTTCTTATACGCGGGATTATTACCTGTCCGAAGTTCAGAAGCTCTATGTTATAGAACAGGCCGCTTGTGTTTAATTTCACTTTCCTTGAAGACAATCCTGTTAAATTAAAAGTACCGTATTGCTTAGAACACCAAAGAATGACAAAAGTACAAATTGCTTAAACAACATTTAAATTATGCCAACAGATTTTTCATATTAAAAAAGAGCTGGTAGGTTCTGACTTCTGGCATGAAGGCAAAAACTCCTAAAAACACAATCCTCCTTCAAAAAACTCTGGATAAAAAAAAAAAAAACATTTGCAATGCCTTTCAATCACATGTATGTGCTTTATAAAACCAATACATATCTCTAGGGTCGATACGGTATGCTTTCTTGGTAGATCTCATTTCATAAGCGTGCTATCTTTAAGGAGCTAAGTGATAGAGTTGCCATTTCTGTACTGTTCTCAGTATTTTCCTACCAAAAAAGGGTAGAGGAGGGATAAAAATCTTACAGGAAGTTTCCTCTATCAAGTAGAATAGATTCTTTTCATGAGTGGCCTAAGAGACAACCAAAATACAGATTCCACTATCCAAAGCCGGAAAAACTTAAACAAACAAGAACGTAACAATAGTACTGGATTAGAACCCAATGAATAAAATAAATATGTATGGGTCCACTACTGACATACATAAAAACTGAATAAATAAATAAATCAGGAAGAAGGGACAACTTCCCTTTGGGAAGAATTCTAGAAAATATAGAGCAGCAGTGATAACTGCTTCAGACTAGATGAACCCATGGATGTTAAGATTAGTGGGTCATTTTGAAAAAATAAAAAATACAAATAGGTTACTCACAAAGTATCTCCCCCAAAACATTTATTAATTCCAGTAACGACACAGTAGAAAAACCTGGCAGACACCACCTTAACCAAGCGGCCAAGGTTAACAGCACTGGTGATCAGACACAGTGAGTGATAAAACGTGTCCTCTGATAGGATACATGGAGAAGTACTCATCACTTCTGTGATATTCTTGCCAAAAAATGCATAACACCAAGTAATAGGAAAGCTTTAGACAAATCCAAATCAAGGAATATTCTACAAAATAACTGACCAGTGCTCTTCAAAGGTATCAAAATGATGAAAGACAAGGAAAGACTGAGGAACTATAAAAAGATCAGAGGAGATGAAAGAGCCATAAAAACTCAAGCAATGTGGGCACCTGGAGAAGAACAAAGGTGGAAAAGCCAACGAAAACCAAATGAAGCCTGTGGCTCAGTTAACAGTATGGTGCTAATGCTAACTGCTCAGTTTTGGCAACTGCATTGTTTAAGAGGCCAACATTATAGAGAGATGAGTGACGGGTACACAGGAGCTCTGTACTCTTTCTGTAAGTCCAAAATTATTTCATAATAAAATGTAAGAGAATATGTAGTTATATGTATTTGGAGAAATCTTGAAACTGTCACAGGGCAGGTAGAAATTTATATCTTATAATAAGCCTTTTATTAAAAGGGCCAATATTGAGTATAAATCCACATGAGAACACACCCCCATACACACACAAACGTATGTGATCATGGATACATTTAATTTAAAGTTCCCTTCTCAGAAGATGACGGCTGGCCCAGTATTAAATAAGAGTCAAACGAATGAACACATCACATGCTAACTCTAGGACTACACTTGAAATACACAATAGTCTTTTACACGGTTGTGCTTTATTGCGAAAGAAATCAGCACTGTTAAAAAGAAAAGCAAGTCTTAGGATTTCCAAAATCAAAATACTTACCAAAGGAAAAAAGATGAGTTACAGGAAGCTGTATGGACCTTGTCTCTCTTTTAAAGAATTCACAATCTACAACAAACTGAAATAGAAACACTGACTTATGAGGGGGAAAAAAATCAACAAATTTTAGTAAAACATCTTGATGTTTGAGTGGAAAATAAAAGTCGTCAGCTTGGGGGAAGTCTGTGCCACACCCTAACTCTGGCTACACTAAAATGGCAAGCATTCCTCAAGGAGAGATGCCAAACTAAGAAAATTTGATGAGCAAGCTTAATTTAATAAAAATTATTAGTGTATGGTGTATTTCTGAGTAGCTCTTTTATTCTCTCTCTTCCCCGTTTCCAAATACATTTCTCTTCCCCAACCCAAGTGTATTTTTAAGAACGGGGTTAGTTTCTTCCTCCTTTGTGTGCTTCCTATATAATTCCTGGCACAGACTCTTGCATATAAAATGGTCTCAATAATTAATAGATTTTGAAAGTCTGATGTTCCACTTGGAATAAAGAGACTTGGGTTTATTCTGCTTAGTTCAAGTTAGACTGGTCCTCCCAGTCTTAGGTGGATCGCTAAACTGGCATTGTTTTAGACAAGCCCTATGCTGAAGAATTCATGAAGAAAGAACAAATATTTAGCATGAGTAGTCCCAAAACATTCTGATAATGACTTTAATCCATTCGTTACCTTACTTCCATGGATAGATGGTACATAAACAACAAGATGTGACAAAGACGGATAGTCTTGAAGTCTTAACGTCAGAGACTAAAAAAAAGGTGAAAGTAAAAAGCTGATTTATACAGACCGTAAAGCACTTTAAGAGAAAAATAAATTACACACACACTATTTCTTATTTAATACGTTATAAAAAAACAGATTGCAAACTTAAATGCAATACTTCATAAGGTACCCATGTTTATGTTTTCAGGTCAATAATCCTGCTGAAAGTCAAATTCCTAATAATTATGTGAATATGGACTACCAAAATAGTCCTGCATCTCTTGAACTGTATCTGTCCCTTCATGTAAAACAAATGACATTTAACACTAAATTTAAATATTTTACATAATTATTTCCAGATTTGCTCTTTCCTTTTATAATTTGTCTATTTGTTTCAAACAATGTTACAGCATTATCTCCACATTTATTTTGGTAGCACATGACAGAGGCTCAACAGTTGATGAATGAACGGATGCTAAATATGATGGAAGAGTTGGAACCTAATCTCAAATGATTCTGATCAAGCCCAAGTAGTAAAGAGATGCTGGCTAATGATATACATGCACATCATCCCCCGATTATTCAGTAAAATGACATGAAGACACAGCAAAGCAAGACTAATAATGTACCTCACCCAATAAACATCTCTTCTCAAAATTAAGACCAGATCCCATAGCCACATCTTGAGGAATAAATAGATAAGAGACGCGTCTATTTATTGAAAAGCCAAGTCACCAAATAGCTCTGAAAGCCGCGCTTTCCCCTGGAAGTACGTGCAGGGGCGGGGTAGTGACATGCTGCTACAATTTCACGCACGGAGACATTTCTGCAGCTAACTTTCTCCACGGCACGCCAGGGCAGCCATGTGGGCCAGCCCCGCGAGGTTCTGAAGCTGGAGAGCTGTCTGTCGGTGAGTGGCCGTCTAAGAAGCCAGTCAGATTCCCTTGGGACAGCACGTTAAACAAACTC